GAGTGTAAAGTGTAAAGTGTTAAGTGTAAAGTTCAGTGTAAAGTGTAAAATGGAGTGTACAGTGTAGAGTGTGAAGTGTGTAGTGTGGAGTGTAAAGTATAAAGTGTAGAGTGTAAATGGAGTGTATAAGTGTGGAGTGTAAAGTGTGGAGTGTAAAGTGTGGAGTGTGGAGTTTAGAGTAAAGTGTGGAGTGTAGAGCATGGAGAGCAAAGTGTGAAGTGTGGAGTGTAAAGTGTGGAGTGTAAAGTGTAAAGTGTACAGTAAGTGTAAAGTGTGGAGTGTAGAGTTTAGATTGTGCTAAAAACTGCGCCTGCCACGCAAAATGACATTCCACGCACGACGGGTCGGCACCAAATGTTGCGCATACCACGCAAAATGACACGCTTATGATGTCCCACACCTGCCACGGAATGTTCACCTTTACATCGCAGCCCTTACAAGGCGATTCGCAACAAACACGCAACATGACACGTCTGAAGTGCTACGCCTGCCACGCAAAACGAGGCTACGCGACATTTGAAACCTCCAAAAGTGACCACTTTTGTAAACTCGCCAGAGGCACGGCCATATTACCCTCGCGACGATTGCTCGCAAACGGTTGCGAACGGTTGCAGACACTTGCGGACGCAAAAGCAGCGTCGAGTCGAGCGAACACGTCTCAACCCCCAGACCCCCAAAGTAAAACAAGAACCTTTCGCTACGCATTCGGGGAAAAAAGAACAGCGTCGGGTCTCTCATATCTGCTGGCAAAAACCTACGGGTGTCTACTGCCGGCAGTGCCACACCCCAAAGCAGGACAGCACGACAGCATGTCCTGAAGTTGGGAAAGCTACCAAACATGTTGGCGCAACCAACTGATGGAGAATGATCAGCCTTTTTGTTTGGCCAATAGATGCTCCCCGGTGTTGGTGTCCCCCCACGTTTGAAGACTCCAAGTGCGAGCAAATGAATTAAAGGCCTTTTGGGGAATCACTATCACCAATTTCAAACAAGTTATACTGTACACCCACTGCTATTGGTTGCAGTAAATCCAAGCGCCAAACGACTCCGCTGGCGCGGGAGCACCTGAATCCAGACAGTCGTGGCGACAGTTTGTTGAACGACTTCCTGGTTGAAACCTCTATAGTTTCTGAGTGAACCAGCAAAAACTGGGTTTGACCCAACCATGTTGGGATATCCATTGTGTTATGTTGGGATTGTATGATTATATGTTGCTATATAATAAAATATAATATGATATAATATGATATGATATGATATAATACCATACGATATAATATAATATGGTTTAATATAATATAATATATTACAATATAATATGTAATATGTAATATGTAATATGTACTATATATAATATGATATAAAATATAGAATATATAATATGTAATATATAATATATAATATTTAAGATATAATATATAATATATAACATATAATATATAATATATAATTTCAAAATATTATATATAATATACAATATATTTTATATAATATATAACATGTAATATATAATATAAAATATCAAATATCAAATATCAAATATCAGATCATATCATACATAATATCATGTATAATACAATATATAATACAATTTAATATAATACAATAAATAATATCATATATAATATAATATAATGTAAAATAATATAATATAATATAATATGTAATATCTAATGTAATATATGTTTATTATATTTTTAATATATAACATATAATATTTAATATATAATATATAATGTATAATATATAATGTATAATATATAAGATTTAATATAAAAGATATAATATATAATATATAATATATAATATCTTATATATTATATTGTTTTAATATAATATACCATATTATATAATATATGAAATATAATATTTAATATATGAAATAATATGATAAACTTCTGTATTGTATTATATATAATATTATATGTATAATACTATATAATATAATAAGATATAATATAAAATAATATATGACATATTATATATGATATATAATATATAATGGATCATCTATAATATATAATATATAACTTATAATTTATAATATAATATAATATATCATATTCTTGTAATGATTGTTCATTATCCTAAAATGGTGCAAATGAGCATCTCCGTCTCAGTATATTCGATTCTAAATTCATTGTTGGGATACTGGCCTGGCTATATATGAGGATTTGAACCATGGCCAGACGGGTGAGGGTCAACATGTAAGCTTTGGCAACAAGGTAAACTGCCCTGCATTGAAGAGATATGCGCAGCTTGCACATCTTGCGCTTTGTGAGAGACTATACCAACAGATGCACCAGAAGATTGCTGAAGGGTTCAGGCATTCTCTACTTCAAATCCTGACTTGGGAAGACGATCGTCACTTGATTGTGGCCAATCATATCCACAGCGGTCGTTGGAGCTGAGGTAGACACCCAAGTGCGCATGGGGACGGCCTTCAATGGATGACTTGGGGCAACCAACAGGTGGGTTGTTCCCATGCCAGGATCAGACCTGTTTCTATATGTGCGAGGAAAATCAGTCAAATTCCTATAATACTACCACCGCCACTAGTATCACTATCATCATGATGATCATTAATTATTGTCATTGTAGATTTACATAATATCTCTAAATTAGCCTAATATGTGTGGATGAACTGGACGATTGTTGCGGGGATTTACCATGCTTTGTTGACGTCCTTTTACGCTTCAGAAACCACCGCTCCCACAGTCACTCAGCGCCTCCCTCATGATGAACACGTCACGGGGCGGGTGCCCTGAGCCAAAACAGCTCCTCTAACGAAACGATCCTGAGCTGCAAACTTTGCCAAGCAAAATGACGGAGTTCACCCAAAACAAAGGAGGACTAGTATGCACTTACATCTATTGACGTTTCTATCTTCATCTTTATAAACATTTGCATTTATACACATGTTCATAAACATATGTATGTATATGCATCCTAAGCCCGAAGACAAAAAAGTCTGCATAGGTTTCGGTAAAAGGAAAGTCCCTCTCATTTGCCGTAGCCACGTCTGGCGCAATACGGAGCTTCACAAAGCCACCAGCCGACCAAAAAGGGATGCTCCCTGTTTTCCACCATCTTCCCATGACTATCCCATCCCTACTTCCAAAAATCGCCAGCTTTTTTGCACCTCCGCCCGCAGTCGGTGTAAGTACTTGGCAATGCGACGCTCCTCGATTTGACTGAGGCCGTGCTTTTGCCTGCCGGGATGGTGATCCCCTTGGGGTAGGCGTCCCAATGGATGGTCGGCCGATGATTTTTGGCACCTTCCCCAGATGAAATGATGTACCCCCAGAAACCTTGGTTTAGTAATTGATCTGTTCATGGGGGGCAAAAAACACTAGTGAGGCATAGGCTATATGACTGCTGAACCATTGAAACGTTCTCCAATTTTATGGGATCACACCTGACCTAGTCATTCCTTCCCATCCTCTTCTCTACGACTATGAAGCTGTCTTTCAATTCCCCTGCAAATCCTCGAACCCAAATTCTGGTTGGCGACTTCCACCCTTCCCAAATAGAGTTGTCACGTGTGATCATGGGAGAAAATAAAATGATCCCAATTACTACTGGGTAACAACTATGACTGGGTAGTATTGATAACAATTGAGATCATGTACTGTTACATCCCCCTTGCTTGGTTCTGTATGGTCAATGCCCCCTTTCTGCTGGGGCCACTTCGATGTTCTCCTAAGGTTGAGAGCCACCGAAGTTGCCACCAAGCTACGCCACATCAGCCGCTGCCGCCTGGCATTCCCAAAAGAATTATATGTATAGGTCCATAGCCACTGGGAAGCCCAACATGTACTCAAAGCTGCCAGAAAATTCGACCCCACCATAGGTGCATCCAATTGATTGAGCCCAAAACCTGGTACTTCATGGTTCTTCCTCAATAGAATCAACCATGTTTGGGGATTCCCGCGGGTCTTGGATGTCCTCCAGGTCAGTTTCTTCTTGCACTGCAATGGCCGCAACAACACCACCTCCCAAGTCCAAATCCACCTGCGGGGCCAGAATCCATTGATCAAGTAGCAGTCAAGTGGTGTGTAAATTGCAAATTGTCTTCAATCTTGGCTGTGACACTGGTTGCCTGCATGAATCCCAAAATCGCCACAATCCACGAGTATCCTCCCAAATGGGTTTGTCCAAAGCAGGGACATCAAAATCCTTGACAACCCGCATTCTCCCCTGAAAAAAATACCAGGAATCTTGCGAGTAACTCATAGTATATAAATCCCCCAATTTTGGGACATGCTCCGATGGCTCTCAGCTGGCACTTTTTCTTCCAGATTTGGGCATGAGATCTCCGTTTTGGATTTCTCACGATTTCTTAGTTCTCTGCTGGCCCACCTGGACCTTTCGCACTGCTTTGTGAAGCCAGTCAGGTTTGGCGGGCATAACATCAATGTTGGGAGCCCCAAAGCCACTGATTTCCCCCCAGTTCAACTAGGCCATCCAAAAAGTTGATTTGGGGTGCCAAGTTGAAGAACTTGACTTGCCTCACATCTTTGGCAGGCAGTTTCAAATCGACCAGTCAGTGCTGATCCAATGGTCCCCAAGGAAGGTTCCTCTAAGTTTCAGAGGTACCCAGTACATGGGATTCCCTGTGGCATACCCAAGCCCTGTAGGTCGGGTAGGTTTCCCCAGCCCTGAAAACTGCTGCTTCCACAGTCCACATCATCTCACAGGGATTCTTCGACCTGCACGGGACGCACGGCTTCCACCCATCATTGGTATGTCAAACCTCCATTGGAATCTATGTATTCTTCAAGTCTATCATGCATCCATGCTGTGTATATTATATATTATATACATGAACAGTCGTAATATTACGAATCTATATATATATATACGGCACATTATAAACATGAACAGTATTGAACAGTGGTAATATTCAGCATGCCACTGCGATGTGTGAAGCGAGAAAGACCACGATTCGATATAGGAATAGGTACAACTTCCACTATGGCCATTTTCACCGAGGCACGCTGCCATCTGTAGGGGTGCACTGCAAAAACATCGTGGCAACAACCAGTGTGATTTGCGAAGCGATAAAGACCGTGTTTATCTCAAGGACAATCCAGGGATAAAAAAGATGTATGATCAGAATCATATATGATCGTATGCATGCATGTCTGTATGTAGTAATGGAATGGAATGGAATGGAACGGAACGGAACGTAATTAACGTAACGCAACGCAACGCAACCTAACCTAACGTAACCTAACCTAACCTAACATAACGTAACGTAACGTATGCATGTATGCATGTATGCATGTATGTATATATTATACATATGTATTACTATATAACTAATATTACTATATATTACTTATTACGCATACCCTGGTTACCGTTGGCGTCACTGCTTTGCTCATTTCACCGCTTCGCCGTTTCGGTTTTTCGATGGACACGCCTCCCAACCGCGCCGCAGCCGCCCTCTTCCCATCTGTCACCAACTCAGGTGGACCTCAGTGCTCTGTCCCTTTCTAGTATGGTTATGTATGGTTATGTATGGTTAGTAGTTGATATAGCTGATACATGGTGATACTAGTTATGGTTATAATATGTCAATAATGTTAATTGTACTGTCGTAGGCACTTGAACAATGGCTATATAATCGTTGCCATAATCATATTAGAAAGAGAAGCATTCTGATAATTTGTTTTAGTAACATGAATATGTGATCAGCGATGGGCTCAAGTTCCACCAAGATAAGGAGCCAGACAAGTTTGTGGGTCATTTACCATCCAAGTTTTTCCGGTGCCCCTGACTCATCACTGGGTTTCCCCCGCGACTCGGCGGAGCTTTTGCTTTGGGCACAGCTATGGCAGCTATGCTGTCCGCTGGCAGAGCTGACAACAACTGCTCCTGCACCATGTCATAGCTTCCAGTAGGACTGGGGGGAAAAACACAAGTAACCGTACAAGTATGTCAAGCATGAACGTATATATATATATATATATGTATGAATATATATATATATACAATCGAATGCTATATGATATACATACTGACCCCCCAGAACTCTGACATCTAGAACCTCGGAAAGCCTGAGGGCTCCGACCTTCCGAAAAGCCTACGACCCTCCCTGGGGAAACCTCATCTGGGCTGGGCGACGTCGCAGCTTTCCTGGCCAAAACGTGGAAAATCAAACTTCAATGCATCCAAAATGTGGAGATCTCCGTTTCAAGATGTCCAAAAAACCAAGAAACAATATGAAACAATGTGGAAAGAACTGCATTTGGTACCTTAACAGCCTCAACGTCTGGAGATTTAGTAGATCTGGAAATCGATGACAATTGAGCCATTAAAATGCTCCTATCCCATCTCATTATGCTACTTGGGTGATAGATTTCCCTAAAACATCCTAAAACACTATAGGTCATCATAATCCCCAAAAAATATGTAGGTAGTATGAGTCCCTATATTTACAAATCAACCAAGATCTTTTTAATGGTTCAATTGACTTTCACAGCCCAAACGGCCCATCTCCTCATCTCTGGGCTCTCTCCAAGCCAGGGCATCTGGGTAGTGACCTGGGTACCAAGGGCCAACTCGTCTACTAATCGATGATGTTTTTAGGGGGATGACATACTAATCAGTAGATATCAAATTGGGATAACTTTTCATTCTATAATGATAAGGTATATATTCATAATTATCCTTTTGTATCATCATCATTCTTGCTATCACTCCTGTTATTTACTAAGACTATTTATATATATAACATATAAATATATATATATATGTGTGTTAATGTATGCATGCATGCATGCATGCATGGATGCATGTATGTATGCATGTATGTATGTATGTATGTATGTATGTATGTATGTATGTAGCTAGATAGATAGATAGATAGATAGATACATAGGTAGACAGATAGACAGATAGATAGACAGATAGATAGACAGATAGACAGATGGATAGATGGATAGATGGAAAAATCGATAGATGGATAGATGAATAGATGGATAGATGGATAGACGGATAGATGGATAGATAGATAGATCGATATAGTAAGATAGTAAGATAGTGAGATAGTGAGAGAGTGAGATGATAAGATTAGATTAGATAAGGTAAGATTAGATTAGGTTAGATTAGGTTAGATTAGATTGGATTGGATTGGATTTAGATAGATTGATAGATATGTTATATATATATACGTATATATATATAATTGTCGTAAATATAAAATATGTGCTAATCAATTCTCCCCCGATCTGAAGATCATCTCAGTGGGGCAACAACCCTACCCGTGGCTGACCCCGAAAAGAAGCATTTCAGTGGGGAAAATATGGGAAAATGATGATTAATCAATGATTAACCAAGGGATAGGTGGTAGCCGATTTTGAGACAAAGCCATGTTCGACTTAAGCGCGATCAGAACAAAATCAAAAGAGTTCCCGTGTGAAGACGCCGAACATCTATGGAGCAGCCGGTTTGTGATTCGGGCAGTGGCCAAGACATATCAAACAGCTGGATACAATTGGATACATATCACAGCACTGACCAATCATTTTAAAGACCAAATGAATTCAGGTCTCAACCGTCGTATCATGTTGTTGTTTTGACCACTGCTCCAAATCTGGGCCCGATAGCTGCCCGGTTTCGACTTCACTTGGGTGGCTGGAATGACATCGTTTCGAGACATTCGAAGCTCTTTACAAAACATTGGAACTGTCCTTTTGAATATATCGCAGTTCTCACATTTCTGTGGGCACTGGCGACCAGGACAAAAAAGAAACAACTGCCAACTGCTAGAAATGTAGCAATCTTCACCGGGCATCTGCATCAAATGGTATCCTGTTTTGACACCATGACGACGCCAGTTGGATTCTCAGTGAGGGGAACCTGGTGCAACTTTCAAGCTTCTCAATCTCTCCCCATCTGGTAGAATTCTTCCTGGTCATTCAGTTCACAACCAAACAGTACCAAACAACAGGATATAGATTGAAACAAGCCTTGGTGACCGGGAGAGCTTGAAACAGAAAGCTCCCAAGCTCGACCTCCGCAAATCTATTGAATTTCAATGCGGTCAGTCAGATCACCGGCCTCCGCAACATGCATCGTGCATCGTGCCTGCACTGAAGATCCAAATCAGGCAACGCAAAACCGGAACTCCAAAAACGCAAAATCCAACCGGGACATTATCTTCCACATTCATTCTTGTGAGCTCCCATGTTAGATATGTTAGTCTTCAGGGGGGGCACCTTTCTCTTATCCCGCCTCCGGATCGATTGCACTCTGGAAGACCAAAAAGGGAAATCCTGCAGTTGCCCGGCGCAGGAATGCCATCCACTGGGGCAAGTTGGGATCCAACATCCAGACAACTTGGTCCTAATGGTTCAATACTCAGACAACCAACACAAATTGGGATATGACTCGCACGCTGTGCCCATCACCCTCAGCGCACCTGTTTGGACACTCACTCAGGTGGGAGGTCCGCGGAAGGAGACTTACACTTTTCCTGCCAAGGAATCAGACCAAATCATGAGAACCTGTCAAAGTCTGCGCTGCTTGGCAGTTTCAACCTGTTCCAAGAATTCACCCCGTTGGCTTTTTGGTCCGTTTCTTGTAACCATCCGGAGACGGAAAGCATAAACATATCTTCACCACCAAGCAGTTTGGCACGCTTTTGGCACGATTCCCACCCAACTCCCCACCTTCTGCTAGGCTTCCCTGGTAGCAGCTGCTCCTTTAGACAGCCTGCTCCTCCTTCGCTGCCTCCGCGGCTGCCTGCTTAGCACGCAGCCGTCGCATATCACGAGGATAGCTCCAGTGAAGAAGGGTGTAGGCCTTGACAAGTCCCCAGCATTGAACGACCCCGGGGTGATCTGCCGAAATTGTGGCAGGAAATTGGTTGGTTTTGGCATCCAGGGGAGATGAGAAAATCCTAAGGGATCTTACGGTCGTAGTCACAGCAATCAGCAGCACTAGTGAGTGTCACTAGTGAGGTCCCGACTGCCAAGGTAATGACCCAGGGAATGCAGATTGTGGCGGCCATGGCCTGGCATCAAAGTGGGCTGATCCTCCAGGTTGATGGAAAAAGTATCTATTTAGGTCAGATAAAATCTGTCGAAATTCGAGAAAAATTGATGTTATAAGGGCACCCGCATCACTTAGGGCAACACCAAACGCATCACTTCAGGCAACATCCAGAAATCACACACTCCTCACACTTTGGACGCTCACTTTGGGCAACACGGATTTCATTACTTTGGGCAACACGGCAAACATCGTTTTTATCATCATTGCTTGACTCAGCCATTTAGGTTTTGGTTCGGGGGGAGGGGTCATTCTACTTACACCATTACTTGACTCAGCCATTTAGGGTTTGGTTCGGGGGGGAGGGGTCAGTCTACTTACACCATTACTTGACTCAGCCATTTAGGGTTTGGTTCGGGGGGGAGGGGCCATTCTACTTACATCATTAATTGACTCAGCCATTTAGGGTTTGGTTGGGGGGGAGGGAGCATTCTACTTAGATCATTACTTGACTCAGCCATTTGGGGTTTGGTTCGCGGGGAGGGGTCATTCTACTTACATCATTACTTGACTCAGCCATTAGGGCTTGTTTGGGGGGGAGGGGTCATTCTACTTACATCATTCCTTGACTCAGCCATTTAGGGTTTGGTTGGGGGGGAGGGATCATTCTACGTACATCATTCCTTGACTCAGCCATTTAGGGTTTGGTTGGGGGAGGGGTCATTCTACTTACATCATTACTTGACTCAGACATTTAGGGTTTGTTTGGGGGGGAGGGGTCATTCTACTTACATCATTCCTTGACTCAGCCATTTAGGGTTTGTTTGGGGGGGGGAGGGGTCATTCTACTTACATCATTACTTGACTCAGCCATTTAGGGTTTGGTTAATAATTCTACTTGGATCATTACTTGACTCAGCCATTTAGGGTTTGGTTGGGGGGAGGGGTCATTCTACTTACATCATTACTTGGCTCAGCCATTTAGGGTTTGGTTGAGGGGGAGGGATCATTCTACTTACATCATTACTTGACTCAGCCATTTAGGGTTTGGTTGGGGGAGGGGCCATTCTACTTACATCATTACTTGACTCAGCCATGTAGGGTTTGGTTGGGGGGGGAGGGATCATTCTACTTACATCATTCCTTGACTCAGCCATTTAGGGTTTGTTTGGGGGGAGGGGTCATTCTACTTACATCATTACTTGACTCAGCCATTACTTGACTCCATCATTACACCATGAGCCGATCCTCTCTTGCACCTGCACACCAACATGATCTCACGCTATCACATCTTCTCCTGACGCTATCATCACCATGAAGATGAGGAAGATGAAGATGAATAATACTCGGAAGAAGAAACTGCTTATAACAAGGATGATCATGAAGAAGAAGATGATGATCATGATGATGATGATGATGATGATGATCAAGATCATGATGATCATGATGATGGTGATGCTCACTTGGTGGTCAACATGATGGTCAACCATGAGTGGACAACATGATGATGGGGTACCCGCCCTCCGACCCCTCATGATGGGTAACATGATGATGATAATGATGATGATGGAATATGTCTATTCTGGACGACGACGGTGATGGTGATGGTGATGGTGATGGTGATGGTGATGATGATGATGATGATGATGACGATGATGGTGATGATGGTGATGGTGATGATGATGATGATGATGGTGATGGTGATGATGATGATGATGATGATGATGATGATGATGATGATGATGATGATGATGATGATGATGATGATGATGTTGAGGTATCCCGAAGCGATGCATGAGGCGTAGCCCGAAGCGATGCACCCGACGTATCCCGAAGCGATGCCTATGCCGTTATAAGCACAATGGGAGAATCATGTATAGTGGAATTGGGATAAAGGATGACAAAAGAGTACTAAGTCAGAAATCTTTTCCAACAACACTCAACGGATTCCTGACAATTGAGAATCAAACAAGTCTGCAACAGCTTCGCCTGTACATTACTGGAAAATGCAGCTAACTACTCCACGCCAGGTATGGGGCTAAGCCTTCCCTGGTTTTGGAGAATATCAACCAGAAGTCCGCACCTGGCCCAGGGCTCTGGCTGAAGACAGAGACTGTCCCGACATCTCCTCGGCGCCGAACTTGTAGCCGAACGCAAAGGCCAAAGTGGAAACCATGGAGGGGCCAATGGCATTGGCCAAGGAATTCTCCATGGCACACTCCCATGCCATGACCTTGCTACGGTCGCTGGCCGGCACGATGTCAGAGAGGATGGGGAAATTGGTGCCAGACTGGGCCCAAGAACCCAAGAGGCCAAAGGCCGCAATCAGCGCAAAGTAAACGCCAAAAGTGCCCTCTCCGGGTGGGATGCCATAGAACTGCAGGAAGACCATTGGAATTCCAATTGCGACAGTGATTTGTGCACTCAGGGGCCTTCCATGGTATCCAAAGCGTCTGGCCAAAGCATCCGCAATCATGCCTCCAATGCTGTTCCCAAAGACTCCTGCTACTGTTCCCTCAGCAGCCAGAATGCTGGCTTGCCAATCTGCCAGGCCACAAAACTTGAAGAAGAGGAGATTGTTGCCCATGACACTCCATGGAATCGTGCCAAAGACACCCTGCATGATCATCACACAGAAGGTTGGAATACGCAAGAAACTGAGCACAGTGCACAGTTCTGTGCGCACTGCGGCACAACCCTTCACTTTGGCAGACTCATCCAACTGATGATGAGGCTCTGCCAAGAACCCTCCCAAGCCAAGAGCCACAATGAAGGCGACTGCACCCCCTCCGGCAAACAGAAAGCGCCATCCGGGGATGTCTCCCGCGTAGGTGTTTGCCACGTTTCCGGCAATGAGCAAAGAGCAGAACATGCCAACCAGCAGGGCGCTCTGCACTCGCCCAAAGATTTTGCCACGTTTGTTGTCACTGGTAAGGTCTGCAATCAAGCCATTGCAAACGGGGCGAAGGGAGGCCAAGAAAAAGCCACTCATGCCTCGCAACAACATCATCACCCAGAAATTCGGCACGAAAGCGAAGATGGTAATGGCAACTCCTTCCCCAATGGCTCCAAGCATCAGGATGGTCTTCTTCCTCAAAGTACCACGATCGGCAAGGATACCCCAGAAGGGAGCAGCCAAGTTCGTCAGAACCATCTGCACAGTAGTGAGCACAGCGAAGTGACCCAATTGCAACCCCAAGTCCCGTTGCAAGGCAAATTGGCAAGCAGGAACCAACTGGGTATCCATCCCCTCCAAAGCACTCACACAGCACAGCCAGAAGAGGATGATGGTTCCAGGCTCCTTCTCCTCTTGTGGGGCTGCATCTTTCTCCTCCTTCTTGGCATCGTCGCAATTGATGATATTGATCTCACTCTTGGCAGCCACGGGATCGGCCACTGAAGTCAACTCCATGGTGGAAAGGGCAAAGGGGCGGAGAGGTGGCGGACAGGCCGTTTTCTGCACCTGGATGTCAAATCTGGCAACGGAAACCAAGGATCAGGAGCACCAACAAGCATGGCAGCAGGTTGAGCATGTTGCATACACATCTAGAAGTCAACTGTTTCAAAAGTGCACATCTAGAAGCTGTCAAACCAAGACGAAAGCAGCTTGGAAATCGCAAAAGGCGAAGCGCAATGGAGGCTTCGCCAAGAAAGAGGCCACTGTTTTCTCATCTTTCGCATCAAGGGAGTGAGTGAAGAAGCCTGGCATCACTGGAGCAGCTTCCAAACGGCTGCAAGGCCCAGTTGGTGCCCAAACAGCTAGTTACCTCTTCACCAGGATCGATAGGCATCATTTCGATGCCCAGATCCTCTGTAAGACACCAATTTCAGAGTCAGCAGCTTGCGGAGTTTCACTCCAAAACTGCAGCTGTACCAGCAAAATCTCTAGACTCACTTGGCGGAAACAAAATTCTCCAGTAGCTGCTGGCCACCATTGTGGTGGCCAACGTTTCACCACTAGATTTCATACTCGGCTGGAAGCAACTTGAAAAACATGCCATGCTGTTTGAATCTGATCCTGGTTTTTGACTGCAAAATTCATCAGATCCCTGGTATTTCACACCTGCATGTGTCTTCAAGTTGCCTCCAGCCGAATGGCCAAAATTCTGCAGTTTTCATTATACCTGCGCGACAAGCTGCGGGATGCATGAGTCTCAAGCTAGAAACCCCTCGTTTACGGAAGTTAGCAGCAGACATGATCCATTCATCTCCTCGGGATGGGGTTTATGCCAACCTGGATGTAGCAGTGTGGCAAGTCTTCAAAAGGATTATAGATTCAGTATTTCACAAAAGACAGGCCTGCTTCGTTTCAAAAAGAGGCGCCAACAGCTCTTCAAATCCCAACATGGGGGAGGAATTAAATGAACCAAACATGAAATGTACTTGTGGTCTTCTGGATGACTCTTGAAGGCTTCATAGATCTGAAGTTCTTGATTTCAACGTTTGATGCCCTTGCCTGGTTTGGGTGGTGATTGAACTGTGGTTCCAAGGTCCCACGGTTCCAGAGTTCCGGTTCCATTCTGAGTTGTTGGCTTCGCAAACAAACGAGGCACCACTACCCAGAGATTAAAACCCACATGCACTGCTAGGAACTACTTCTCACTCAAACCATGACATGGTGACATGGTGGATTTCTTTGGGTCACATTGGATCCCAGTCGCAGATCCACTCCGCTCACCTCGCCTGCGTCGGTAGTGCAATGCTGAAAATCCCCATCTACACCTGGTGCGGACACGAAATGCCAAGAATGAATAAAGGTATTCTGGGCTTCCGAAAATTGGATGTGTATTTTTGTTGCCCTTTTGACCATGTTTTTGGTGGTAGACTATTTTGAACAAGGGACAGGTGGCCCATGGCTCAATTTTTGAAAAAACCTTCTGGTGCCCGTAGGATCTTTTGGAAACAGGCTAGAATCGCAATAGATTCAATAGATCGTCAAAACCTCAAACCTTTGAAGTGCGTCTGATCAGCAAAAACTGATGACAAAGTGTGTTGGTTCTAGTTTCATGAAGCCTCCAGTATTTATATGTGTATATATATATATGTGTGTGTGTGTGTATATTTATATATATATATACCAGTAGTACCGCACAAGGCGGCGGCGGAAGTTTCAAAAATAGGAAACCTATAGGAGAGGTTGGTTTTTGTGAATCCCGGATGGCAGAGCGAATCCGCTGATGGACCGACAGGTGATTGAGCTCTCCTCTTTCTCTCTCTCTCTCTCTCTCTTTCTCTCTTTTTCTCTCTGTTTCTCTCTCTTTCTCTGATTATCTTCCTACCTACCTACTGATCTATCTATCTCTCTATCTCTCTATCTCTCTATCTATCTATCTATCTATCTATCTAGCTGTCTACCTATCTACCTATCTATCTATCTATCTATCTACCTATCTATCTATCTATCTATCTAGCTGTCTATCTATCTATCTATCTATCTATCTATCTAGCTGTCTACCTATCTACCTATCTATATATCTATCTATCTATCTATCTATCTATCTACCTATCTATCTATCTACCTATCTATCTAGCTGTCTATCTATCTATCTATCTATCTACCTATCTATCTATCTCTATCTCTCTATCTTTCTATCTCTCTATCTCTCTATCTCTCTATCTCTCTATCTCTCTATCTCTCTATCTCTCTATCTCTCTATCTCTCTATCTCTCTATCTCTCTATCTCTCTGTCGGTCTGTCTGTCTGTCTGTCTGTCTATCTATCTACCTGTCTATCTGCAAGCTTGAAAAAAATACTTTACTTCGTGTGATCCCCACCATGACATTTATACATTTTCTTACTGGCAAATCTTCTGGCATTCTATCTGACATATCTTCTGACATTCTATTTGACATTCTATCTGGCATATCTTCTGGCATATGATCTGGCATATCTTCTGGCATATCTTCTGGCATTCTATCTGCTGGCAAATCTTCTGGCATTCTATCTGGCATATCTTCTGGCACTCTATCTGACATATCTTCTGGCATTCTATCTGGCATATCTTCTGGCATATATTCTGACATATCTTCTGGCATTCTATCTGACATATCTTCTGGCATATATTCTGACATATCTTCTGGCATATCGTCTGGCATATCTTCTGGCATATCTTCTGACATATCTATCTGGCATATCTTCTGGCATATTTTCTGGCATTCTATCTGGCAAATCTTCTGGCATTCTATCTGGCATTCTATCTGGCATATCTTCTGGCATATTATCTGGCATTCTATCTGGCATATCTTCTGGCATAGATTCTGACATATCTTCTGGCATTCTATCTGGCATTCTATCTGGCATTCTATTTGGCATTCTATCTGGCATATCTTCTGGCATATCTTCTGACATTCTTTCTGACATTTTTTCTAACTTTCTTCTGCACATTCTTTGTCCCATATCTTCCTACATGAGGTCCGGCAGGGAACACTTGGCGTAGATACTCGCGGTTGAGGTCCGGCAGGGAACACTGGGCGTGGATGGTCGTGGTTGAGGTCCGGCAGGGAACACTGGGCGCGGATGGTCGTGGTTGAGGTCCGGCAGGGAACATTGGGCGTGGATGGTCGTGGTTGAGGTCCGGCAGGGAACACTGGGCGTGGATGGTCGTGGTTGAGGTCCGGCAGCGAACACTGTGGATCGCGAGTCGCAGTTGAGCAGGAGGACGAGGAGGACAACGAGGACGACGAGGACAACGAGAGGACGACAAGGATGACAAGGAGGACGAGGAGGAGGAGGAGAGGAGGACGAGGCAGGAGGAGGCGGAGGAGGAGGAGGAGCAGGAGGAGGAGGAGGAGGCAACTGACATAAAATCTAACAACCCTCACCTGGCAGGTGGGGAACTAAGCAATTCTGCGAGACTTCCTCATTTTTCGAAGTTGACAACATCAAAAACGAAACAATTCTGCGAGACTTCCTTCAAAAATAGAAAGTTAAGTGCAGCGCTGACAGCCTCGTACCAATGCGTTTTGCGATTTTTCCACTCCACCTGTCTAAAGTATTGCGCCTGCCACGAAAAATTGATGCCAGGTCGTACGAAGTGCTGCACCTGACAAGGTGCACAATCCCTTGCGCCTGCCAAGCGAAACGACATCTGAACCTCCAAAAGTGGTGCGAGCATGTGGTGCTTTGTACATTTTGACTTCGAAATGTGCTTCGCGCCACAACGGCATGCACTTTTTCGACATCTCAACTTCCAAAAGTGGTCCGGACCTGGTGTATTCTGCGCACATTTTGACTTCGAAATGTGCTTCGCGCCACAACGGCGTGCACTTTTTCGACATCTTCAACATGTGCTTCGCGCCACAACGGCGTGCACTTTTTCGACATCTCAACTGCCAAAAGTGGTCCGGACCTGGTGTATTTTGCACATTTTGACTTCGAAATGTGCTTCGCGCCACAACGGCGTGCACTTTTTCGACATCTCAACTTCCAAAAGTGGTCCGGACCTGGTGTATTTTGCACATTTTGACTTCGAAATGTGCTTCGCGCCACAACGGCGTGCACGTTTTCGACATCTCAACTTGCAAAAGTGGTCCGACACTGGTGTGTTTTGTGCATTTTGACTTCAACATGGGCTTCGCGCCACAACGGCGTCCACTTTTTCGACATCTCAACTTCCAAAAGTGGTCCGGACCTGGTGTGTTTCGCACATTTTGACTTCGAAATGTGCTTCGCGCCACAACGGCGTGCACTTTTTCATCTCTCATCTGGCCAGATGGCTCCGCACCCGCCGCTTTAGCGAGCCTACTTTTCGACCCTCCGGAGCCACAAATCATCGGAAAAACACCGTGTTTCGCAGCTTTTCTACCTTTTCGCGCATCTGCATCTTCTTTCTTCTGACTCTCTCTCTCTTCTATCATCTTCTCTCTTCTGCTCTTCTCTTCTCCCTGCCTCTGCCCAGCTCTGCTTTTCATCTGTCCATATTGTCGGAAGTTTGACCTCTAAACTTCCTTCGATCATATAACTATATATATGTGTGTGTGTGAATGGGAAGACCACTTTCAACAGCTCAGCCTGCATCTGCTCCTTCGCAGCCTCTTGCTTGGCATGCAGGCGGCGCATGTCACGAGGGTAGCTCCAGTGAAGGAGGCTGTAGGCCTTGGGACTGCCATGACCGCAGCTCAGAGATCCCCATGGTCTTGATGGGGTGATCATCACATCTGTGCATCTCATTGAATGGTGTCACACCCAAACAAAATCTTGACAATATTGATTGATATACATGATCAGACTTGATCAGAAACGTACTGAGTCAGAATATAGCCATGCCATGTGGTGCCCCATAAAAACACTCACCATTTTGGCTTCATGCCCCAAAAATCCGCCGGCCTGCCGGCGTGTCTGATTGTGAGGTGTTGTTCTTCTGTTTGTTCTTGTTTTGTACTTGTTCCTTTGTTCTCTCCCCGCACATCTTTGCCTCGTCTGAATTGAGTCCACCCACCCCACCCCCCCCTTCTCTTC